AGGCACCAAGTTAGGCACCTCTTTTGTTCCAATGAAATGCTGTGCTAACTTCTATATTGTGGTTATAATCTCTATCGTAATCCCTGTGTATATGTCTGTTTTCCATACCACCACCAAGATTCCATTGAGGACGGGTTGTGTCTCACCTAACCATGTAACTGCAGCAGCTTGTAGTGTCTAGCATAAATTAAGCATTTAGAAAATGCTGGTTGAATCAACTGGGCCCAGAAACCATGTGTCTAAAGTAGCTTCAGGGCTGTAACCCTGTACCAAAATACCAGATAATAGTTTATGACCATTTCGAGGGATATTGAGAGAGGTGGTAATATCCTCTGCAATCCACTGTGCAATAAATATTAGAATATAACTGCTTGTAAACTGAAAAAGTGTATTTTAACTTAAGAGTTCACTGAAATGCTTTACTCATCAATAGATTCAACAAATATTTACTGAATATCTGCTATGTTCTATGTACAGTTTTAGGGACTTGGGATACATTAGTGAGCAAAACAATGATTTCTTCCCTCAAGGAGTTTAATATTCTAGCAAGTTGGGGGAGGCAGACAGAAAACATGTGACTACATAATATGTTAGTAGGTAAAGGTGCTGTATAGGGGTGAGGAGGCTGCAATTTTGAATACAATGTGTCCCTCAATTAGGACAGGCCTAATTGAAGAAATGACTTTTGAACAAAGATTGGGAGTTTGTGAGAGAGTTAGCTATGAGAATATCTGGAACCTTGCAGGCAGAGGGAAAGGCTAAGGCAAAAAAGTTCCTGAGACGCAGGGTTCCTGGCATGTTCAAAGAACAACAAAGAGTCAGGTGTGGGTGAAACAGAATGAGGTAGGGGAGACAAATGGGAGATAAGATCAGAGATGAAACAAGGGGACAAGATCAGGTAGGACCTTGCAGGCTAGTGTTAGGACTTTGACTTTTACTATGATGCAAATGAGAGTAGGGTTTTGAGCAGAGGAGTGACCCAGTCTCTCAGAAGGATCACTCTACTCTGTTGAGAATAAACAGCAGGAAGGCAATTCAGAGGCTGGGAGACTGGCTAGAAGAGTGCAGTGGTAATGTAGTAAGAGATGACAGTGGCCTACACCACGGTGGTCACAATGGAGTGAAGAGTCATCTTTCCTTGTCTCCTTTCTTTTCCTTTCATTCATTATTTATTGAGCACCTACTGTGGTGGCAGGTGTTGTGCTGGGTCTTGGAATATATTGGTGAGCAAGATTAACATAGTCCCTATCATCACAGAGCCTACATTCTAGTGAGGGTAAGAGATAATGAAAATATAAATAACATAGAGCTAAGTTGCCTGAAAACCAAACCTGTTGCCATCGAGTGGATTCCAACTCAGAGCGACCCTACAGGACAGAGTGGAACTGCCCCGTAAGGTTTCCAAGGAGCAGCTGGTGGATTCGAACTGCTCACCTTTTGGTTAGCAGCCAAGTTCTTAACCACTATGCTACCAGAAGCAAGGATGGTGAGACTTCATCTCACATACTTTGGACATGTCAGGAGGGATCAGTCCCTGGAGAAGGACATCATGCTTGGTAAAGTAGAGGGTCAGCGAAAAAGAGGAAGACTGTCAACTAGATGGATTGACACAGTGGCTGCAACAACGAGCTGAAGCATAACGATTGTGAGGATGGCGCAGGACTGGGCAGTGTTTCATCCTGTTGTATATTGGGTTGCTGTGAGTCGGAACCAACGCTACAGCACTTAACAAGTTGCCTGAATACATCAGAATGCTGTGAGGGTGAATAAGGGGAGGGGAGGACCACTACCCACTACAGCTGTGACAGGTATCTGTCTGAGGAGGGAACATTTAACCTGAGAGCCAAAGAATGGAAAAAAATTAGTAATATGATGAAGGGGGTGGAGGAGGTTAGGGAGAGTGGTCCAGGCAGAGGGGGTATTTGCTAAGGCCCTAAGGCAGTAAAGAGTTCTGTATTTTCCAAGATCTGAATGGGTGCATAGTGGAGCACAGTGAGCCAGGGGGAGATGGCCATAAAATGAGGTTGAAGAAGTAGGTAAGTGTCTTGGTTTGGGTTTTACATGAGGTGGGAAGCCACTGAGCCATTTTAAGCAGGGGAGAGTCATGATCTAGTAAATATTTTTAAAAAGTCATTCTGGCAGTTGTGTGGTGTCTTAGTTATCTAGTGCTTTTATAACAAATACCACCAGTGGATGGCTTTAACAAAGAGAAATGTATTCTCTCATAGTTTAGGAGGCTAGAAGTCCAAATTCTGGGTGTCTGTTGTTTCTGGGGGAAAGTCCTTGTCATCAATCTTCCCCTGGTCTAGGAGCTTCTTAGCACAGGAACCCCAGGTCCAAGGGACTTGCTTTGCTCCCGGCACTGCTTTTTTGGTGGTATAAGGTCCCCCTGACTCTCTGCTCACTTCTCTTTTATATCTCAAAAGAGACTGACTCAAGATACAACCTGATCTTGTAGATTGAGTCCCGCCTCATTAACATAACTGCCTCTAATCCTGCCTCATTATCATAGAGGTAGGATTTACATACATAGGGAAATCACATCAGATGATGAAATGGTGGACAATCACAATACTGGGAATCATGGCCTAGCCAAGTTGACACAGATTTTGGGGGGACACAATTCAATCCATAACATGTGGGGAGTTTATCAGAGAGGGGTAACAGTGCAAGTGAGCAGACCAATTAGGAAGCTGTTGCAGCCCAGCATGAGATACTGGTAGCTTGGTCCAAGGTGATGGCAGCAGAGATGGAGGGGTAGGATTGGAGATATATTTAGGAGGTAGAAATGCCAACGTTTGGTAATAGATTGGATATGGAGATGAAGAAGAAAGGAATCAAGTTATGAAGGATGCCTTTCAAGTTTCTGGCTTGAGCAATTAGAGGGATGGATGGTGGTGCCGTTTACTGAGACGCAGGTGCCTTTATAAAAGAAGAGAACTACTTCCTCCAATAAAATAGAGGACTTGGAGGGGTAGAAGTGATTTAGGATCATGAGTTGTGGTGCTGTAGGAGTGGGAAGTGTGAGAGAGGAAGGAAAGTATGAAGTAGTTCTCAGAGGTTGGGAATGCAGGCTACTAAAAGCAGCATGCTGGGATCACCAGTCAATGTTGAGTGTCCCTTTGAGGTTTGTGGTCATTAATCAATTTAACGTGAAAACAGTCAATTTGGTTGTGGGATTTCCCTCAGCCAATTTCCCTTTTCTTCTATTTTCTATCTTCTAGCTATCCATAACTTGGAAATGAAATAAACATTTTAATTATTTGTTGAATATAATCCCCATGTTCCTTGTACTGATTCAAAATGGTAAATTTATTGGTATGGTGACTTGCATACAATTTTTTAAAAAATATTTATTGAATTGAACTTAATGTTGAATTTTTCTTTGTAAAACATCCCCAAAACTAAATTTTCACTTGCGTGGTCTGAAAACTAACTTATTTGCTTAAAAAAAATTTTTTCCACCTCTTGTCAGCTAGCTTAATATACCCACTGTCTGTTTTTGTTCTTTCTGTTTTTCCCATTTCTTCTTAACATTTTCTAAGGCTGAAATAACTTCCTTACCTGTCAAGGAGTTATTGCGGGAAAGCATTTTTACATTCAAAGATGATTATCCTGCCTTTAAAAAAAGTTGATGGAAACAACCCAAATGTCCATTAATAGTTGAATGAATAAATTGTAGTTTAGTCACACAGTGGAATACTATACAGCAATCACAATAAAGAAGCTGCTACCCACAACAACATGGATGACTTTCACACGTAACGTTGAATAAAAGAAACTCATTGCCATTGAACCGCTGGCCTTTCGGTTCGCAGCCGAGCACTTAACCATGTGGATCCTTGAATGAAAGAAGTCAGACAAAAGAAAATATACAATATGATTCTATTTTTGTAAACCAAAAAAAAAAAAGTAGGTAAAACGTACATCGGGAAAGAGGTTAGTTTTGGGAGGGTGAAGTGGGAGGAGGGCTCATGGGATGGTGGTAATTTTGTATCTTGACTGGGTGATGGTTAAACAGGTGTGTTGACTTTAAGATAATCCATCATCTGACACTTCTGATTGATAAAATTTTTGGAATTCATTATACTTTAATAAAACAGCTTATTAAACAAGCACAATTGCCCCCCCTTTTTTTAGAGTGAGACATGTATATATATGCTCATTTAACCTCTAACTCCTACAATAAATATCAAATAATAAATGTATGTCTTAGCACTCTATCATAGCCATTAGAAGGAAAGAGAAAAGAGAGTGATAAGCTGAAGGTTAGGTAGAAGCCTAATGTCTTTCAAATTTGTATGAGGCTAAGAGCTAATTCAGAAATCCTGGTGGCGCAGTGGTTAACAGCTGGACTACTAACCAAAAGGTCAGCAGTTCCAATCCACCAGGAGCTCCTTGGAAACCCTAAGGGGGCAGGTCTACTCTGTCTTACAGGGTCACTGTGAGTCAGAATCAACTCGACCACAACAGGTTTGTTTTTAAGAGCTAGTTCATTTACTAATAGAGCACTTTTTAAAGAAAACAACATTTAACCTTGACCTTAAAAGGGTAAGTTTTGTCACAACTGTTATAGAAGGGTAAGCACTACCTTGTCTGATAAATAGGAAAAATAAGCCACTTGTTCTTCTACTCAGTTATGCTTTTTCTATAAACTAATTTTTATTTAAAAAAAACAAAAAACTAGCATTGAGGCTCTCAGGGCCTCATTTTCCTCATCTGTAAAAGTGAGGCTGTAGAACTAAGTCAGGAATTCTTAATTTGGAATCCATGGATGGTCAGATCTTTTGAATCATCTGAAAATGAAAGCAAAAGTATACATGCATTTTACTGGCTGATGTCCATAGATTTCATCTGATTTTCACAGAGGAAGAACCACAAAAGCTAGCCAATCTGTAAGGTCCCTTACAGCTCTGACATTCTAGGATCAGTGAAACAAAGATAAGGCTAATTTTCATGTAGATATAAATTACAGATTTTCTCTAAGACTGATTAGAATAAGGGTAACTGTTTTGATCTGAATAGCGGTTAACTAAACTTTTTTTAATTTGTGTTTTTAAACAAGTTGAAATATACACTGTTAGACATCAGGGATTTTTAAAACACTTTCAACTCTTAATCCTTTCCTCCGTCACATATTACATTCCCTTTGAAAGGTCTACAGCTGAGATCACAAGCTAAATACCACTAGTGTGAAAGGGAGACTAAGGCCAGTGCCGGCAAGGACAGCGGTCCGAACATGCTCCGTGTCGTCCAATAGACGTTTACTCCTCTCACGTACCATTCTGGGACTTTGGACAAGTCAGAGGATGCAATGGATGAGGATGACAGTGATAAAAGATGAAGTTTATTTTAGAATCCTAATTGATGGCACCTCATATCTGACAGCAACAAAATCTAAATGATTGTCTTTATCTTTGTAACAGCATTGCCTCCTCTTAACAGCGCTGAAAGAGTATCGACCCGGTCCTAAGAGATTCTAAGTTCTAGGGCCTTTTCTATCTCTTAAAATTTAAAGTATCTAAGGAAAATGAATAAGAAATGTGATGAGATACTGGATATCCATTAGTGGAAAAGAATGTCCTTTCAGGAGTTCTGAATTATAAAGGAAATAATATCAAAGAAACAGGAAAATAACACCTATTTTTTAAAATTTTACATATAGTAGTACTTTTATTCAAAAGAATAAACTGTTTGACAAACTCTTAAATCACAAAGTTTGAACCAAACCGCCAATTCTCTACAACAACTCTGTGAGGTAGGTATCTGCACAGCCACAAGGGATCAACACAAGTCCTTTCTTCCCTTGTTCCACTCAAAAGCTGAGAATTGCAGTCGTTGAAACCACAGCTCTCGTGGGCAGTTAGAACAACTGTTTCTCTTGCCTTGTTCCCCACAGAGCCGCCCAATTTATTGTCTGCTCCTGGGGTTGGACCATCTGCTTTTGCATCAGTTACAATATTGTTTTACAAAAATCCAAATTAACATTACTTTGATTTCTATGATCTTACTGTAAATCACAGAAGTATTACTATGATATTTAAAATACTGACTGACTCTACTTGCTTTAAATACTCTCAGATCCCCTCTGCCTTTATTACCAGTGATGAATGAAGATGACATAATTAATAGTTCTAAAATTCTGAGATGTCAGCATGTTCCCTTTTCAGTTTCATAGGATTTCAGATCATAGTGTTTCTGTACGTTAAAAAGCTGGGTATGATACACCTCTACCAGGAAAGTCTTAGAAGAAATTTTAAAATATTACAGTAAAATTATCGTACCCAGAAATGTGACACTTGGAGCAGAACACATGCACAGAAAATAAAATCATTTCAAAACATGACATTGCTATAGCCCTGTACCAAATTTATAGTTGGTATGAAATGCGTTTCTACACTGGTAAATGGTTGTGCCACAACTCCCACTCATTTGCTTTCAAGTTGGTTAACTGCAGACGTACTCCTTCTCTATGAAGTGTGCCACCCAATTAGACGTTTGATTTGGAAGCACAGAATTGGGATTCATGAGGTCTGGATGTGTTATCTTAGACCTTTTCCTCTCTTAGTCAGAAACACCTAAGCCCAATGAAGGACTAATGCATTTTGAAACACTTCCAGAGGACCCCCCACCCAGTTCCTCTCCTGCTTCCCACTTCATAATAACTTTCACTATCAGAAAATTCTATCTAAACAACCTATGCAGGAATCCTACTAAAAGTCTAATCCTAGTACAATCACTTATTTGTTGCGTGGCTTCAGGCAAAACACTTTCATCTGTAAAATGAGGATTTCATCTATGAAAAGGAAGGTGATGCGCTGCCTTCCCCATGAAACTGGCCTAAGAATAAAATGAAAAATATGTGAGAAACTGCTTTAATTATAATGTACTAAGTTTAAGTATTGTTTTTCTCTATAACAAGCAACAGCTTTGTCATAGGCCCAAGTTAGAAAACACTGTTACTGGTATTTCATCCAGAAATCTCATTAGCTGATGGCTAATCAGATTAATTTTAGAAAATCTGATAGATTTTTCTCTCATCTCACTATCTACACATAGTGAGGCTCACGAATTAATGGGTAGTATTAGTATCAGTGACTGCAGATGGTAAGGCACACACTGATTTACACTGGGCTGTCCTAAATTCACTAATGAACAATGGCAGATGAAGTGAATGAGGACTGTATGATACCTGTGGTATTTATCTTCCTCAAACTGAAAACTGCAGAAGAGAGCATTAGATACTTATGCCATAACCTTCAGAAAAAAACAAGATAACTTTCCTATCCAATCACATCAGATATATTTTGCTCATTCTGCACAATGTTTTTTAGACGTAATCAATCTGGGCTATATGCTGCCATCTATAGACAGTATTATGTTTTTTGACTGAATAGAAAACCAATCAAATCTGTCCATTCTGTTACTAAAGTTGGAGCCCTGGTGATGCAGTGGTTAAGAGCTTGGCCCCTAACCAAAAGGTCAGCAGTTCAAATCCACCAACCGCTCCTTGGAAATCCTATGGGGCATTTATACTCTGTCCTATAGGGTCACCGTGAGTCAGAATCAGCTTGATGGCAATAGGTTTGGTTTTTTTTTTGGTTGCTAAAGTTAAGCCAGTAATTTCAAGTCAAATTTAAATAGTGTTCCTACTACCCCCCGAAGGGCTTTGATGCTCACAACCATGAAGATCCACTTTCCTCAGAAATGCACCGGACTACTATGTGTTTGTAGTATCATCCTTCCTTTTCATAGAGGAAATCCCCATATTATAGGTGAAAGTTTTTTTGCCTGAAGCCATGCAACAAATAAATGACTGAACTGAGATTAGACTCCTAGTAGTATCCTCTTTACAAGTTACTTTTATATGCTAATCCTGTGAAAGGACAAAACTCTTGTTTAAATGTCACAACTGTGAACATAAAGTGTGCTGACTGGAGATAAATGTTTTTCATCTTGTTAAATTCTCCTATTGATTAAAACTTGTTCTGTAAACCAGAATATGAAATCAAATTATGAAGCTCAAGTTTCTTCCTTCAGTTTCAGCTGATAACAAAGAATCATGCCAGCATAGAAATGTAGAACTGCTCCAAATGCACAAAACTTGGCTAATTCTATAGGAAATACTGACGTTACCCCAATATTATACAATATTTTATTGTAACAAAAATATTTGGATGAGTTTCACAGCTATGTATTATAAAGATATCCACTGAGGAGGATATACTGGATAAACTACATTTAACAGTATCTTACTATACATCCAATTAATCTGAGTTCTGGGAAATAGTTTTCATTTTATATCAAAAAGACATAAAACCATCCCTTTTTATATAGTTCCGTATTTCTTCCAGAGACTTTACAGACAACACAGAATCAAGATCATTATAATTCTAAACTTAATATCAGAACCTACAACATGTTAAAATTCCAGTTATATATTGCTAAGCATTTGTCAAATGATAATCAAATGTTTATCACACTGTGGTTTTAAGCTTGTAAGATAGTATTCGAATGCTTGATAATGCCATAGATCCTTTTGTTTGAATTTATACACTGGTTCAAATATTCTAGTAACCTCTTTTTTTTTCATCTATTTAGCCTCTGTGTTATCACTTCTCGATACATAATAGAGATGTAAATAAGCAACAAAAAGATGACAAAGAAATCATCTAGAAAACCTAGGATTCCAAACAAGGCTTCAGGTACAAAATCTAGAGGTGATATAAGATAGAAAAAAGCTCCCATTAAACAAAGTATTATCCTGATGCGGAACATCCAGAAAAGGCCCCCGACTGAAAACATTTCCCTGAATGCGTGCCGCAGTAAAGTGGGTAGATCCATAATTCTTTCCATAATCTGGTAAGGGGAGAAACAAATATCATGATTTGGTATCTTATGTGTAAGATTTCAAAATAATGTAATTTTTTTTTTTTTTCTTTACTCATTCCTGAACCAATCCTGAATTCTCTAGGTGGATCAACTAATTGCAGGTTGATGGAGTTCTCATATTACTCTTAAAGTATACCTAAAAAGGAGATCTATAAGAACTCCAGCTCCATGTGAAAGGAAGAATAATGGATTTTAAGAACAGAACAGAAGTAACCTCTTGGTTTTTAAGTATCCATTAAGGTTCAGATATCAAAAGCAATTTTTTTATTCTTTCAAGTTTTGCAGAAGTCAACACAATCCTTTAAAAAAGTGTTGCTTCTCATTCTCTCATTCTCTCCAGTTCACTGTACCTAACTGTTAGCACTAATAGGCTCAAGTTAGTTTCTAATTTGAGAAGTTTTGGTCCTGGGCAAGACTTATACAAGAATCTCCACCTCAGAAGTCTTGGTCTTAGTGTCAAACTCTACTCTTTATATGGTACTCCATGGCTGTTCCCATACTTTTTTAGTAAATAATACAATAAAGGGTATATAATAAAGTAAATAAAACAAAAAAGTAAATAACACTTCCTTATACTGTATTATTTAGAGTAAATAATATAATACAATAATACTTTATTGTATTCTTTAGAGTAAATAATATAAGAAAGTATTATTTACTCCAAGCAGGAGTT